GTGGATGGATCACTGAGAGCTAGTCAGTTAGAAATGCAGAATTTCAAGCCCCACCCACAACCTACAGAATCTGCATTTAAATGAGCATCCCAGGTGATTCCGGGGCACACTGACCCTGAGAAACAATACTCTGCTCTGCGGCAAAAAGGCCCAGGATGTGACCATTTCTCATCAGGTCTAGCTTTTCTGCCCCGGCAAAGAGGTGGGGTGAAGTGGGCTTTGGAGAACAGATTCCACACCTTTGGCTAACCCAGGCAGACCAGGCTAGGCGGCTTTGGCAGAAGCAAGCCAGGTTGCTATGGGTTACGGACTGTGTGCTGTGCCTACCCCACTGGACACCCCAGACAAGAAAGAGCTGGCTTTAGGCTCCTGGCACTGCTAGCTTTCTGCCAGCTGATCTCAAAAACATATGCTATCTTTTGATCCGGAAGCCCCTTCCCCTACTAAAGACCTTGCCAACCCCACCCCACTTCCCAGTCCAAAGTGAGAAGTGGATCAAAATTCCCTATCAACAGTACCTCTGGCTATTGCTTCCAACCTGACCCATCCTACCCAGCAACACAGGCTACCTGAGCCTTCAGGTTGGCCTCCATGCCCAACTCAATAGATCACGCAGACGTTTGCACCCTCACTTGAAAGAGCTCCAGAATGGTCAGGAAAGGTCCTGGTGGACATCTCAGGACAGAGACAAAGGAGAACACCGTAAACGACACAAGGCCAGCACGGGAAGAGAGTCTGAGTCAAGAATGGCAACGAGAGCCCCTGGCAACTTTTCCTTGGATCATTTCTCCCTTCTCCGCCTGGTCGCTATTTCTCATTCGATCTGGGGAGACGGTGTGACAACGCAAAACAGACACGTGTTCAAGCTTTGGGATGCTGTTCTGCAGAATAAGGCGCACGGCTGGACAAGAACATCTAAGATCCTTAAGAGCTTTAACATTGTTTGTTTTGGACCAAACAGCCGAGGACCTCGGATCCGGCTGTGCTCGCCCGTGGTGGGACGGCTGCCTGGGAAAACAAGCCTGTGGCCCCCGCCGCTGGGTAGGAGACGGGACTGCAGCCCAGCGCCCGCGTCCCGCTAAGCCAAGCGCCAGGATCTGTAGCGTCTTCGAGTAGTTAGGCAAGTAGCGCGGGGGAGGTGGTAGGGGAGGGGAGAGGGACAAAGGGGTGGGGGCAGCGCGAGGATGGGAGGGAAGTGGTGAACACGAGGATTTCATCATGCAAACAGGCGCATAGGTTTCATCAGCGCCTGAGCGCTGGGGCGCCCGGGCTGGGAAGGAATGCCTGGCTCCCGAAGCAGCCCAGGGCTGGCCCCCACCCGTGCCAGCTCAGCTTCCTCTTCCTCATCCTCTCAAAGGGAGATCGCACGGTGCCTCCCCCCACCCCCTGACAGAAGGACGTGTTTTTCTGCACAGCCCTGCTCCCGGCGCCAGGCACCTCCGCGGAGGTTCCACTCGCGGAAACGGGGCATATGCCACAGGTGCCCACGAGCGCTGCGGGAGCAGGCGGGCGCCCTCAGCCCCAAACTCCGGCAAAGCACGCGTGTCCGGCATAGAACGAGAGGTGCCTCGGGAAGCAAAAAGGGCTCTGCACGAGTCACTTATCCCAACAGAGAATGCCCATCCCACCCCATAAAAACTCCAGGCCAGGCCTCTCCTTCATGCCTGGGCCACCCTGCCCCAGAACCACCCACAAGGGGCAGCACGCCTCGGCATGTGGCGGCGCTGGAAGCGTGCGTGTCTGGGTGTCAGCTGTTTCTCCCAGAAGGAGGAAACCAACGGGGCAGTTTGCAGCCCGGGCTCTGGACGACGCACCCACAGGGCAGGCAGCCGGCCACCTCCTCGCTGGCTCCCTGATGCCCCTTCTCTGTTCTTTCCCGTTACGGCACCCCTGAGCCTGGACACCAGGTCCCCTCGGTGATCCCCGATCCCGCCCGCCCGCCGCCGGAGCCCGCACGCGGCGCCCCCGAGCCTGCGCCTACCTCCCGGCGTTGTGCTGAAGAGCGTGCCGCCGGGGGTGGTGCTGTAGTCCCCGGGCGGGAGCTGCACGCCGTCGCCGAGCACCACCCGGCGAGTGGCCGGGATGGCCCGGCTTGGGGTCTGGCTGCAGCTGCTGCCCCCGGACATGGTCTCCTGCGCTGCACCCGCAACCCTCTGGCTGCCCTCCCGCGCCTTCAGCCTCGCCCCGCCTCGCCCCCGCCCGCCCCGCCGAGGCCGCCCCTTCCGCCTCTTCTGCTCCACGCCCCTGGGATTTGTAGTCCGCGCCCGCGCCGCCCCACCCAGCTCCAGGCCGCCGCGCGCACGTGGGTTCCCCCGCGGCCCGGGGACAGCGCCCCGCCTGCGCCCGATCTCCTCCGCGCCGTCCCCCAGGGTCTGCCTTCGATGCCCCGGCGTCCCTCCGCGCCACGCTGGCAGGGACGGGCTGGGTGGGAGCCCGGGGAGCGTGCCTAGGTCAGCCCCGCGCTGGGTGGGGGTCCAAGCTGACTCGGCACTCTGGGAAGGCCCGGTTTCTGCACTGGGACATCCGACCAGAGGTACCGCTCAGCCCCGCCTGTTCCAAGCCTCAGTTCCTCAGTGAGAACGTGGGGTGACTATCATTCCCCCTCTTCTGTTTCCTGAGCATTCACCGTGTGGCTGGGGTTGGAGAAATGGCGTACAGCGCGCGTTGCCGGCCTTGGGAGAGGGTGTGGAGAGGGAGCGAACAAACCAACCAGCTGGGGGCTGAGATGGAGACAGGGGTGGGAGGGAGGGGTAAGAGTTGGTCAAAGAAGTTTCCCCCATTACCTCGGAATTGGGTCCAACACCGGGCGCCCTGCATGACAGCAGGCATTGACGGATGGATGGATGGATGGATGGATGGATGGATGGATCTTCAAGAAGATCCCTAAGTGGAGAGAGAAAAATGCAAGGAGCACGGAAAGCCTGTGGGTTTGAGAAGTTTATACCATTGTGACCACCCACATCTTTTGGGAGGGGGGTGGAGGAGAGGAGAGAACTGTTTAAAAGGGAAATTGGTATGAGGTTCTCGAAGGGTCCTTCACATCATGCCAAGGTGTTCAGACTTTGTCCTACAAGGGCAGGAGCTATCAGCGATCTTTTCAGCAGCAAAATGACATGTTATAGTTGTTTTTTGGAAAGATAACTAGTGGCTTTGGAATTTAGGAATGGGCTGGAGGAGGGCAGAGCCTGGGTTAGGGAGACACGATTGAGTTTGGTCTCACTCCTGAGCTACACTTTAGACCTGTACTGTCCAAGACAGTAACCACCTGCCACAGTGGCACATCGAGCACCTGAAATGTGCTAGTCCAGACCGCGGCATGGTACAGGTGCAAACCACACACCAGACTTCAAAGGCTTAATATGAAAAAAGTCATATAAAATATCTCAGTAATTTTTTATATTGATTACATGTTGATGTCATAATAATTTGAGTATATTAAGTAAATTACAAAAATTAATTTCACCTGTTTCTTTTTACTTTTTTGATAGGACTACTCGAAATTGTTTCATATATATGTGGTTCGAGCAATATTTCTATCGGATAGTGCAGCTTCGGGCTGGGGCTGTCACGGTGGTCCTCAAGTTCTCAGAGCCGTCCTCCCTGCCCGCTGGGTTACCACAGCTGGTGTCCCAGAAAACTATGGAATCACCGAATCTTAGCTCTGGCAGGTACATCATAGGTCGCTCAGGACAGTGTACACCCCCATCTTATTTAAAAAAAACAAAACAGAGCAGAAAACTGAATCCCAGAAAGTAAGGGGTGTGCCCCAGATAGCAGGCTGTTCCGTGCCTGAGGCAGGACTAGAACCCAGCCTCCCCTCCCTCCCTGGCCCACCCTTTTCTCACCACATTTGAGAACGAAGTGATCCACCCTCCTCCCTGGCGGAGGAACTGTTTTGAAAGGGGTCTTCCTGTTGCCTTATTAGAGGTGCGTGATTGGTTAGATATGAGGCCTGGAGTTCACGGGAGCTGAGGTTCTAGGGAAGGGGCAGCCTGTAGGCTCAGCACTCAGCAATGACCGTGCTGAAGAGGGCAGTCTAGACTTGGGACCCCCAGGCTCCCCACCCGAAGCCCCAAAGGCCCTCACACGAAGATAGCTGCTCCTAAGCACAGGGCTGGGCAGAGGGGCTGCGAGCAAGTATAGGTCTAGTTGGAGTCCTGGCCGGGGGTGAGGGCTGTAGGTTCTAGTCCTAGCCCTGCCACTAAATAACTCCTCAGCCTTGGACTAGGCCCTTTGCCTTTCCTGGCTTCGGTTTCATCAACTGTCAGATGAGGGGGTGGATTTAAAGATCTTTGAGGACCCTCAGCATTGACATTTTATGTCTTTGACAAACTCCCTGCTGAATCCTGGTTCCAGCCAGTCATTTCACCTGTATAAAGGGGTATAGGGAAAACCCTGAGTGTTCTTTCTGCTGTCGCTCACACAGCCACCCCAACACTTCTGACACCAAACAGGTGGGTTTTGCCCCACATACCAACTGGGCACTTCCGCCGCAGAAGATTCTCCAGTGGACGCCAGCGGGGTGTCCTCTAGT